CCCCCCCCCCCCCCCCCAAATCAGGGAATCTGAGTTCCCTGGCTCATGTCCTGTTGCCAGACACCAGCCCAGGAATAAAGCTCACTGAGCAGAGAACACGTGTGGCCTGATTGCTGGGCACCCACCTCGAGGAGGGGAGGGGGTGGCCCGGATCAGGGTGAGGAGAGTGAGGCACCACCTCCCGCACCCAAGTCTCAGCCCCATGATGAACACTGTGTTCGTGCAACGTTTTATTTTTTTTTAAATATATTTTATTGATTTTTTACAGAGAGGAAGGGAGAGGGGATGGAGAGTTAGAAACATCCATGGGAGAGAAACATCGATCAGCTGCCTCCTGCACACCTCCTACTGGGGATGTGCCCGCAACCAAGGTACATGCCCTTGGCCGGAATCGAACCTGTGACCCCTCAGTTCCCAGGCCGATGCTCTATCCACTGAGCCAAACCGGTTAGGGCTCATGCAATGTTTTAAAAAGTCAAAATGGATGCCAGAAAGTTCACCCTGAACAGAATCCCCCAGAGTTAAGGGAAGACAGGAGCCACGCCTGCACTGACCTCACTCTTCTTACCCTGGGCCCAGCCCCTGGGAGGGAGAGCCCACCCCAACCCCCTGCCCTGGCAACTTCCCTGAAATCCCCTGGTGCTTCTCAGCCCTTTCCAGCCGGGAGGAGGTGACTAAGACCGTGAACCCCCGTGTCCAGCCGGCCCCGGGGGGTTTCCTCGCTCATCCAGGGCAGGCAGGGTGTCCAGTGGGGCTTCAACTGCCGGGCATCCCCATGGCTGGGAGGATGTCCGTGGGAGGGGCTGCCCCAGGTCTGCTCTGTCTCTCTTGGGCCGGTAAGCAGGGACCCCGTCGTGGTGGTCCCCGCGTGAATGGGCATCTGCTGTGTAGATGCCCGGGTCTCCCGTGTCCCCGTCTTCTTTTTTCCTAGACTTTTGTGTCTCTATCTCTCCGTCTCCTGACTTTCTCTTTTTCTGTCTCTATTTCTCTATCTCATCTCTCCCTGTCTCAGTCTCTGTCTCTCTCATCTATGTCTAGCTCCTGTCTCTCTCCCTGTCTCTATCTCTCTGTCTCCTCTCTTATTTGTGTGTGTCTATCTCCATCTCTGTCTCTCCTCTGAGTCTCCCACCCCTCTCCCGGACCCCGTCCCGGTGGTCTCCGCGTGAATGGGCATCTGCTGTGTAGATGCCCGGGTCTCCCGTGTCCCCGTCTTCTTTTTTCCTAGACTTTTGTGTCTCTATCTCTCCGTCTCCTGACTTTCTTTTTGTCTCTATTTCTCTATCTCTCTTATCTCTCCCTGTCTCAATCTCTGTCTCTCTCGTCTATGTCTAGCTCCTGTCTCTCTCCCTGTCTCTATCTCTCTGTCTCCTCTCTTATTTGTGTGTGTCTATCTCCATCTCTGTCTCTCCTCTGAGTCTCCCACCCCCTCTCCCTCTCTCCTCTCCTCTGAGTCTCCCACCCCCTCTCCTCTGAGTCTCCCACCCCCTCTCCTCTCTCCTCTGAGTCTCCCACCCCCTCTCCTCTCTCCTCTCCTCTGAGTCTCCCCTCCTGCCTCTGTCTCTGTCTTGCTCCATGCGATCGTCCCCTCTGGGGTTTCCCCGGCCCCTCCTCACTGCAGCCGGAAGGAAGGACTGACTGTGCTGGGAAAGGCCACGGGGTCTCCACTTCTCCCTTTTGTGGCCTCTTCCTCCTGCCCCCACCTCAGAGCCTTCCGCACCCTTGTCCCGGGGTGGCCAGCAACGGGACTAGCGGATCTGCTGCCCCTGCTTGACTCTCCTTGGCCCCACGAACCTGCCAGTGAGTCCAACCCAGAGAAAGGGAAGGGGGGAGCTTGGCAGGGTCTGCGTGCCCCGCCTCCCCAAGGGGCCCCTTGCCCAGCTTCTGGAAGCGGAGCCCACAGGAGTCATGGCCCCAAGACTCCTCCTGGCCCTGGCCCTCTGGGCTGGCTGCTCACCCTGCAGTGGCAGAGAAGGTATGTAGGGCCCCTGGGGGCTGGGGGACCAGGGCCAGTCTGGGGACTGGACTTTGCTGTGGAACCTTCTGGGGGTGGGATGGGAGGGGGTCCCACAGATGGGAAAGTAAGACACAGATGAATCCTACTCCAAAGTGACACCAGGTAGTGAGTGGCAGCCACCGCCTGGAGAGAGAGAGAGAGAGAGAGAGAGGGAGGAGGAGGGGTGGGGGTTAATTGCATACACTCATTTCATGTGCTTTAAAACAAAACTGTAGCCCTGGCCAGTTTGGCTCAGTGGGTAGAGCGTCGGCCTTCAGACTGAAGGTCCCAGGTTCGATTCCAGTCAAGGGTATGTACCTCGGTTGCAAACTCAATCCCCGGCCCTGGTTGGGGCACATTGGGGAGGCAACCAATTGATGTGTCTCTCTCACATCGATGTTTCTCTCTCTGTCTCTCCCCCTCCCACTCTCTCTTTTAAAAAAAAAAAAAATCAATGGAAAAATAGCCTCTGGTGAAGATTAACAAAACCAAAAATCTGTAACAAAGAGGGGATACAGTGAAACATCTCCTCCCATCTGGGTTCTCCACTACCGCGGTCTCCTCTGTGGCTTGTTAACCCTGGAGGATGAGCCAATAGTCCCTACCTTTGCAGGTTGTAGGGGGGTGAGAGGTGACGTAGGTGCCTTTCACTCATGCACTCATTCCACCAGCCCTATCAGGTGCCTCCCGTATGCCCGGCACTGGCTGGGGGTGAGGGGGGAGGAACCCATGGGAGGCCTTTACAGCCCTGGTGTCTCTGAAATGGAGAGAATCAGCATCTTCCTGTTTCAGATTCCAGAGTCTGACTCTGTGGACCTCAGAATGTGGGAATTGTAAGGCTGGAATGTTGACATTCCAGAAACCTGTGGAATCTGGGACTGAGCACCGAGGGTGGCTTTCACCCCAAACCCTGGGTACTTGTGGGTGGTTTGAAAGCTCACGCTCCTCCCTCCTCCCTCCCCACTGCAGCTCCCACCCAGTCCAGGGTGTGGTGCTGGGCCTTTAGGTACCCGATGGCCGTAGATTGCTTCTGGACCCTGCCACCGGCTGCCAACTCCACCAGGCCCACAGCCTTCATTGCCACGTACAGGTCAGAGCCTGGAGGGCTTCCTGGAGGTTCCGCAGCGGAGCCTGACCCCTGGGAGGAGGGCAACTGCAGCCAGCGCGGACCTGGAGCCCTGCGAGTGCTAGGGCAGCGGGTCCTGTAGAAACGTGCCTCCTACAATACACATGTCATGCCAGGGGTCGCTTAGAATGTTCTAGAAGCCACATTTAAAAAGTAAGAGGAAATGGGTGAAATTAATATTTTATGTAAATAATATCTATATTTCTCAATATTTATCATTTAATGATTGAGCATAATGTAATTGAACATACTTATAGCCAATGTATATATTTAAATTTAGAATAGAAATTAATATAGAAATAACTAAAATATTATCGTTATCATTACTTTAAAAATTAGATATTTTACATCCTTTTTATAAGAAGTCTTCAGAATTCCACGTGTATTTTATGAATATAGTGCCTTTCAGTTCAGATGCTAAACTTTCATTAGAAATTCTTGATCTGATTGGATTTCATAAAATTTGCAGTTGAAGTAATAAATTCATGCACCCACTTGTTCCAAACAACTTTCCCAAGTGTTCTGGTAACTGGAAACATTACACTTAGGTTACACAAAATGAATCAAACTTAGAAGTCCCACTCAGTCACGTTAGCTGTGTTTCAAGCGCTTGACCCCACAGGCGGCTAATGACTGCTGCATGGGACAATGTAGAAACAGGACATTGTGATGCTGTAGAAAGTTCTATGGATGGCACTCAGCTCAAGTCTCAGAATCTTCCTGTTTCAGATTCCAGAGTCTGTGACTCTGTAGACCTCAGAATGTGGGAATTCTAAGGCTGGAACGTTGATCTTCCAGAAACCTGTAGAATCTGGGACCCGAGCATCTAGCGTGCTTTTCACCCCAAACCCTGGGTACTTGTGGGGTCTGTGATGCCAAGTGAGTGCCTCCCCCGAGTGAGGGTCACAGGGGCAAGAGCAGGACCCCGAGCCAGGGCTCCTCACCTTCTGTCCCTACTTGGGATCGAGGGCACAGGCAGGGCCAGCAGGAGTGCTGAGGCCCTCACAGTGCCCATCCGTGTCCAGGCTGGGAGTGGCCGCCCATGGGGAGAGCCAGCCCTGCCTCCAGCCCACCCCGGAAGCCACCAGCTGCACCATCCCGGACGTCCAGATGTTCTCCATGGTGCCCTACATGCTGAACATCACCGCTGTCCACCCCGGGGGCAGCAGCAGCAGCTTTGTGACCTTTGTCCCAGAGCACATCAGTGAGTGGGGGCCATGGTTGGGGGGTGAGGGTCCCTGGCTTGTTTGCGCTCTTCCACCTCTCGAGGTACCCCCACCTTCTACCTGTCACACAGTCCTGTCCTCTTGTCGCGGATCCTGTGGGATTTCAGAGAGGAAGGGAGAGGAAGAGAGCTAGAAACATCAATGAGAGAGAATCATTGATCAGCTGCCTCCTACATGCTCCCTACTGGGGGACGAGCCCGAAACCCGGGCATGTGCCCTTCACCGGAATCGAACCTGGGGGCCTTCAGTCCGCAGGCCGGTGCTCTATCCACTGAGCCAAACCGGCTAGAGCCTGATCCCACTTCTTTACCGCCCACCTGGACCTCAGTCCTCTCACCCTAGTTTCTGGTTCCCACCCTCTTCCCTCAGCAGCCACCAGAGGGCGCCTTCCCTGAATCAGCCACCAGAGGGCGCTGTGAGCACCCTAGTCAGGTCCTGCCCCTCGGCCCACAGCTCTAGCTCCTGCCTCCCTTGGGGTAAACGCCCAAGTCC